AAAATGTACCACTAAAAATACCTAATAAAATCCACCCTTCCGCGACATTGCGAAGGTATAAAAAAAAAAAAAAAAAAGATTAGGTTTAGTATTAAATTAAGGTTAAAATGTATAGATATATGGGGTTTGGGTCCTATAACTTAGTGGTTAAACTGTCAAACCTCCACAAACTAGATTAATAGTTCGAGTTAGACTGGAGGTAAAATCTTAGGATTTTTCACTTCTGTAACCCAGAAGGGAGCCATAATTAAATGTGAAGCTTTGTAGTTAAATCCAGATGCAAGTATGAAACTAGAAAAAAGAGAATTACCGAAAGAAGATCCAATCATAAAGCGGTGACACTACACATAATATAAGTTATAGAAGGTTTTATTACATGAAGATTGTATATATCAGTCCTCAATTAGGGGTGACTAAGGCAGCACCAACATCTCTGCATCTAATTTGTGAAGTACTTGCTTAAGAATGTAATATGAAAGTAATATAACTGAAGTAGTGAGAAAAGTGAAAAACATAAGGATGATCTGTAGAAAAGGATTGATTCAACTAGAATCAAAAGCACCTCTGGCTCCAAACTACTTGGTCTATTAGGGAAAGACCCTATGATAACAGAGTAAGTAAGCTAAAACTCAAGTATGTGATAATAACTCGAAATGGCTAGATTTATTATGCTGGTAATATATTGTATAAATAGAGCTTGCATAACAGAAAAATCAAAAGATATCAAGATTAATTAGAAATATTACAGACCACAAGCCAAACTAGGTTTATATCCCTAGTGCTTTGTAACCTAAAATATCAGAGTATTAAAACATCATAGTTATTAAATGATACCCAATCTGTCAGTTTATGAAAGAAAAATAATATGAAAAACCATTATCTGGAAGTTACAAAATAACTTGTAATGCAATACAGTGAACTCACATCAACACATGGTAGTACTTACTCAATATAGTAATAGGGATTAACAAGCATACTAACTAAACTATGCATTATTAATAAAGGCTTAATCTAAGTCAACATAAAGCCTACTGGTAGAACTTATCTGAGCAGGCTAGCTGAAGTTTACCAAAATTGGAAGCAGTTTAATTAGGCTACAAAACCTTCCTATAAAAAAAATTACCAAATTTGAAAGCTTGGGTATAAGTAGTATAAGTGATGCAAAGAATATCATTATGGGAAAGTGTACCGAAATAGAACTTGTAAAGGGTGGTAAAATATCAGATAAGTGCATCAATAATGATGTACTACTTCAATAGGTTTGAATCATAGATAATTAGATCAGTGGCTAGTAGTAGATGGAAACACCTATCACACAAGTAATGGTTTTGGCCAGAGTGTAGGTTATCAATAGAATCTGGGTCTAAGCTTGGTATACTTGATATATGTAATACAAAAATATAAATAAAGTCATGGGCAAGATCCCACCTTAACACTAAAAAAAATATATATATAAATATATGCAAAATTGTAAGCTGAAAACTTTTACTTAAAAGCCCAAAGTGGGTCTACATAATAAAATTTTGTGATATTTAAAAGTTTTGGGTTTTTTCATAATTTTTACTATCATTGTTGTTACACAATATCCTGTAATTTGATTGGTTAATTATATATGCGAGTTACGTAACCAGGGGGCAAGTTAGCAACACTCTAAAAACAAACAAAATTACATCGAAAAATGGCATATATTTAGAGGTTAGAAACACAGGTGTAAGGTTTGTAAAAACATGCAAAAAAGTAGCAGATAGCATATATAGGCAGTGTGAATTCTCAAATAATTAACATTAATTAAATAATAAAAATAATAATACTGTAAATTTATGAATATTAACGTTTATGTTTTATTTCGATTAACATATATGCATAATACATGAATCTAAATTTTATTATTTTTAACCGGCCACAGAATTTATTTATAATAGTAAAAATCTTACTGTAACAACCCCATATTTCTAACTACATATTAATGGTTAAAAGACTAAAATATTTGATGGTATTCCCTAATCTCAAATTTACCTTTTACTGTAGCTTGTATATCAAACACTCTGCCCAATGAAGTTTGATTTGCTTGGTAATAAGTTTGCCTAAGATGGGCAATGAGATCTTGAGTAATCTGTTGATTCTCTGCAGGGGGAACATCAAAAACACAAAAAATTGAATTAGATGGATTGCTAGTGACCATTCCTCCACCAGTCATGAGAATATCTGAAATTTGTCGAAAACCAGGAAACCTTCGAATAAATAATCAAAAAAGTGGTTAAAAAATGTAACGAAGCATTATTAGTTATTTTTGAATATACCATTAACTATGTTATTTTTATTAATATTTCGCTGTCTGAGTCCATTATCATTCCACTCGACAATAAATAACATTGGATCAATATAATAATCATCTATCTCATCCATCTCAGAGACACTGCAATCTGTTTTTACAATTTTAAACCATTGGATGATACTTTCTTGGGTCTTGTCACTAAAATTCTTTAATGAATCTGGCATCTCTTTTTTGCTATAAAATTTTTTTAAATACATCAGATTAGATAAGACATTGATAAAAAAAAATGACGTTATACCTTAAGAGCTTAGAATAAAGCCAGTACATAACCATTAAAGAAAAGCTAACAGGAAAGGTACAAAAGACAATAAAGGTTGCTATAATGACATAAATGGTTTCTTTTGTCATGGTTGAATGAAAATGGTTATAAATTTTTACGTATGCTTTTTGCATATGTTTTTTGTGCAACTGTGTTATACAACTATACGTACGTACATACGTACAGTACATCATGATTTTATTATCACGATATGTGAACCCTAATCACCGTCCAATCAACATAACAGAAATATAAATGATCGGTTTTAAAATAGGTCGTCCGAGTCTTTTGTAGTATATAACCAAATACTCAATTTATATATGGTTTTTATCATAGTACCCCCTGATAGTGTTTGTAGTCGATTCAAATTTATCGACTAGACTAAGGCCGTTCTCAAGCGCCTCCCTCGATGTAATTATCTAGTGATCAAGGTGATGCTCAAATGCTATGATCAATTGAAATAAAGATTGCGATTGGTGCTTGAGCTATCTCTTTCTCCGATTTCCAAAAAGGCGATTACTCAGTCACTAAAAATTTAGCACCCAAGACTTTGGTGTTTGAAATTTGCCTTCAACCATCCTCTTAACAATTTCACAAATAACTTATTTGGCTACAAGTCATTATGGCAACAATCATATTCGACAACGCAACTTTATATAGATTCATTAATGTTAAACGAAGTGATATCGAAACATAGTGAAGCATGAACGTTATTTTAATAAAATATATACGACATATAAAAAATAATTTTTTATTCTATGAATATTAAACGTCTTTATTTGTTATAAGAGTAGAATAATTTTTGATAGCAATGATGTCTTGTTGAGGTTCATGTTACAAACAAAAGAAATAACAATAAAATAATGTATTTGAGCTTGAGCGATTACTCTGTCAATGATACATTTTAACCAATCAGCGCAGCTCTATGAAAAAAAATTAGTGGTCGCAGCTCCAGGTTTTTTTGACCAAAATGATGATTTTTCGACCAATCAAATCATTCGGTTAACTCATTGAGGTAGGTGTTTGAGAATAGCCTAAGAGTGCTCTCAAGCATCTCTCTCAGTATAATTAGCTATCTATAGAGATCGTGCACAAGTACTACGATTAAATGAAGTATTATAAATTCCATGAAAATGAAACATTCATGGAAAAAACCTGGAATAATAAACACGGATCAACATTTTTTATAGGGAAAGTGACAACACTGTACTTAGTGATTTGACCCGTCTTTAAAACCTTCACCCGGATCACCCGTCAGGTAGACAATAAGTCACCCAGGTGAAAATCAGGTCAACTTAAAAATGTCACCCACTCGGGTCACCCGAAGGGTGACCTGTCGGGTGACCCGTTGGCTAGTATAAAAAGACCACCCGAGTGGTAATATAACAAAGAATTACAGCCTTTATCAAATTTTGAATACATAATAAAATGATTTTTGACTGAATCGATTAAATTATTGATTTCAGTATGATTGGTGTATATTTTTAGACATAATATTTCAGGATTAGAACCATACAGCTAAAATCAGAAAACGTCTAGTTGGCCAGTTTATAGAGCTATCAGGATAATATAGGACAATATGAATCAAGACAAATCAGGATGATATTGGAGTTTTTTTCTATTGAACAAATTGAAATGTAGATTATAGATGCATAAATATGAAATCTTTTTTGCCTCTCAATTGGAATATATAAATCACATGACTTTGAGGACATGTTCTTGGCCTGGTAAAGAAGAGTTCGGATGCGGTTA